GTTTTTCTTTGTTTCGGGGACGGGTTTTGGATTCTCACCTGGATTATACATGGCATTCTCTTTCATCCATCAATACATACTAGATGCATACATACAGCAATGGCATATACGGACCTCTGCTTTTGCTCTATATTGCTCTGGATTGAAAATGTAGTAGAGCAAGAATTGGCATACATATACATACTGCTACTGTCGTTAGATTTCATCATCGATAGATAGATCAATTGTCTTTGTTCACTACCAGCATAGACCATAGTAATCGAGCAGTTGACACGATATACCTCTTCATCTACATAAGTACTACTACCACTACTAAAAAGAAAGATTATGAGTAAATGTCTCAAGGATCAAGTGGTAAATATCAAAATTTTCATGAAAAGAATATTAACAGTCATCTAATTATAATCGCTAATGTGGGTGCCCCAACCGCGAATCGCCGGGCCCAGTTGTGTGTGATGTGTGTGTGTGTTCAGTCCATTTCATTACCACCCCCTTTTTCTTCCTCTTCTCTTCGACTTCTCTTCTCTCTCATCAATCTCATTATGTAGGTACAGTTTGCATGGCCCCATGTTAATTTGAACAATAAGTCGCAAGTGGCTCACTCTGGTCCCAGCCCTCCAGCACTTGGTGAGGGGGACCGAATCAGCAGTAATATCTATAGGTTAATAATGAAAGAAGGGACAAAGGGGGAGGGGAAGAACAGAATGGGGGGTGTGGGGGATAGGAAGCATGTGGATTGAAGAAGAGAAAGGAAAGAAAAGAAAACAGTTGGCACGCGAGTCATGGTCGTTTGTTCAGTTGAAACAGCGGGATGACATGACTCGTGGGCTTGAGAGAAGTGATAAGCAATGTGCAATTGGGTAAGGGATGCTACGGCGCATTCGCCGTGCTTTGGGGATTCATGGTCTTCTTTGAATTTCCATTCTGTAGTGCGTGTAGGAGCCAAAGTCAAACATAAGCATGACAACCGCAAGGTTGTCTAGTGATACACGGGAAGTGGATGGGATAGCCTCGAATCGACCAGCGACGCGGCGTGACCAGTATCGGATCGATCTGGTTCATGTGGTGGGCACCTTCCGAACATATATGCGACCACATCGTCAAGAAGCATCGACATGGTTCGGTGGTGCAGAAGGCAGGTTGATCAGAGACCAGTAAACGGCCAACTAGTAAAGTGGCGACTTGACATCTTGAACGCCACGTCTGATCACATCCTCAATCTGCCATCTAGGAGGAATGATCTTGGAGTTGCGTTTGCGACGCAACTCTTGTTCCTTCTCCGGAGGGGGTATCGCATCCTCCGGCAGGGCACCTCCCGCGATGCCTGTCGAAAACTTGAGCTGCAGGACATTGCCGATTTCGTCGCAAGCTGTTAGGATGCGGTCAAGATCCTCCTTGGTGTGTGCAGCAGAGACGCAAAAACGGGCACGAGAAGAAACCAGCGGCGTAGCAGGATAACCCACGACGACGACCGAGATTTTCCGCTTTAGCATTTCGTGGGAAAAGGCGGGCATTTTGGCAGGGTTGAAAAGGAGAACAGGGATGATCGGCGAATCATCGTGGCCGTACACTATAAAGCCAAGACGCTTCAAGCCCAGGCGGAGATACCGTGAGTTGAAGGCCAAACGCTGCAGTCGCTCTTCACCCTGACCGGGGATGAGTTCGCCGTTGATGATCCGCAACGCCGACATGATTTGCGCCAAAACTGCCGGAGCAGGAGCCTCGCCATAGAAAACACCAGAGTTGGTCGCTCTAAGCACATCAATCATCGCCTTGTCCGCAGCGATATATCCACCGTTGGCACCGAAGGACTTTGTGAGGGTTCCCATGAGAATGTCAACTTCGCTGGTGTCAATTCCAAAGTAGTCACAAACACCACGACCTTTAGGACCAATGGCACCAATGGAATGGGCCTCATCAACGAACAGGTGGAACTTGTAGCGCCTCTTCAGCATGACCAGTCCAGGGAGGTTGCACATTGAACCTTCCATGGAATAGAGCCCTTCAACGACAACCAGGATCTTCTTCCAAGGCCGGTGGGTACGGGGTTGACCTTGGCTGATAGCTTCGCGCAGTTTACACTCCAGATCCCGCATGTCATTGTGCTTGAACATAGCAATGGAAGCACCTGAAAGACGTGCACCAAACCGAATCGAGGCATGATTGAGCTCGTCGGAAATGATAAGACAGCCCTTGTTGACGAGAGCGGGGAAGATGTTCGCGTTGGTACCAAATCCCATGGAGAAAACCATAGAAGCCTCTTTGCCAACGAACTTGGCGACCAACTCCTCTACCTCCACATGAAGATCCTGCGATCCAACCTCAGCGCGAGTACTGGGGGAAACGATACCATACTTGCGGATCGAATCCTCGGCAATGTCCGCACATGGACCCTCGGATTGAGCAAATCCAAGGTAGTTGTATGAACTCAGGTTCAAGGTGTCAGTGGTCGTTCCAGTGAAGTAGAAGTGCTTGTTGTGGTCATCCGTGGCCCGGTCGATCAGCGTGATATAGCGACCAGGAACCCCAGTGACGGGACGTTCGAAGCAATCGTTGATTCGCAATTTGAGACGGCGCACGTAGAAGTTGTCGAAGTCACTGTTCAGGGCGCCATATCCATTCTGAGGCTTAAGATGCCGATAGTTCTCTTCGCGGAAGCGCTTTCCAAAGAAGTCTCGCACATGACCGAAAGCGATTAGGATAAGATAACTGATATAGGTGGTGAGGAGGTAATAATACGGGGGTTCGTCCATCACAGGCTCGGGAAATGTACCACCGGGATGCTGACTGGTGTACCGGTGGCTATGGTGGCCGATGGGGCCGAACTGAGCATGTTGCTTAGCCAGGCGACGAGCCTCTTCGGGCGAAGGCGGCTGAAAGAGAGTGGTCGGTGGTTCGTCCATGTTCGGATTATCCGCTGTGGCAGTGGAGAGAGAGATTGTAGGCAGCGACAGAGAGGCTGAACTGATGGGTGGGGTGGCAGTGCTAGAGTTCAGGATTCCACTGGCCGATTGGACAGCGGCCTGCGCAGTCTGAGATTCGGCCTTGGACTTAGGAGAGGTCGAAAATAGCTGACTTAGGCGGTTAGGTTTAACGGCGGACGCCTTGATGGCGATACCACCCTTTGCGGAGGCAGGAGAAGAAGAGGGAGCGTTGGAGGGGTCGTTGACGAAAGAACTAGCAGCGCGACGAGGCATCGCAAGGAAACAGCTAGACAGGAACGAGCAAAGTTGTGCAGCACCGAGGAAATGAAGGAACTTCCGCCGCGGCTCTTGAGCAATTAAGTACGGCAAGCACTACCTAAAAGATAACCAGCGAACTTTTGCTTCTAGGCAGCGTTTTCCTTTGATCTGGCCTCCTTTACTCCAGCGCAAAAGGGAATGACAATGATTCGGTGTCACCTACACACGGCGGAGTCGAATGTCAGTCACCATTTCACCAGGCGGGGAGAGCGACAATAAAATAGCTTAGCGACCGAAGGATTGTGGTCGCAGGCAGAGACAGGCACTCAGATGACAAGAAGCGAAGAGAAGAGGGGTCTAAGGGGGGAGAAAAAGGGAAGAGTCTTGTCGAGAGACTCCGGAGACTCCGGGGCTAATCGGTCACGTACCTTCGCACGTGGAGGAACAGTAGCAGAGGGCACGGAACCCTTCGACGACGGGATCTGTCGGGACCCCTAAGCCAAAGGGAATCAAACGACCAGATTAACCGTTAAAGAAGCAGGACCTTTTGTAGGGTTGAAGGTTGGCAAAGGAGGAAAAGGGTCGGTGCTGGGAAAGAAGGTCGGAAAGGGAAGACGAAGAGCGCCGAAGGTCGAATAACGGGAAGAAGACAGATTGGAGTGAGATGAATAATGGAATTTTGTGACGCGAATAAGAGGAAAAAAACAGCCTCAAAGGGAATAGTAATGAATAATGGCACCAAACAAGGTACGAGGCTAAGAATCGAAGCGGAGCTCAGGCTTGCGTACTGTAAAGTGAAAGCAATACTGTGTAGGGTTTGGTTGGGGTGAAAAAAGCGCAATTTTCGCTGGCGAGATTTGCAAATGACGATGGGGTTACGGGTGGGAAGTGGAGCCTCCGACCCATCGGACACTGTCACAGGGCGGTATTGTTTGCTGGTTCTACACTATCCGTGCACCCTCCAAGTACCTGAGCCACTGGTATTCTGACGGTAATTATACCCGCCGCCCCTGGACCCTTCTGCAAGTTCCTCGATTTGTTTTCATTCGTTGCACGCCTGGATTCTATCGAGTATTTTGACTTTCTATTATCCCAGAAAGGGGCAACGCAAGGTGATAGTCACCAGAGGCACCTTGAAACTGCCATCTATGCCGGTAATCTGACAGCCTAGATTTTCACCGCTAGTTAGTTTCTCCCAAGCACTTTATTAATTATTCTCTTGCATCAATCGCTTTGCATTCACAGACTGCAGGTTGCAGCGTACATGTTCCTGCCTCAGGCGAGACCCTAGTCACGGCTCAAGTTTCCGAAGGATAGACGGGTCACAGGACGAGGTCATGGTTGATTGATATAGTCCAACTCACAATATCTGGATGATAACCAGCAACAAGGATGGACAAACGTGTTATAGATTCCCGGGGACTTTCAATTCTATAGTTATATCTTCACTCACTGTATCCCCACTTGATCCCAGGCGATTGTCTGCCCACCGCAGATATCCCCTTGCAGATTCCGTCCCCGGCTTCCTTGAGTCGGCTCCGGGGTACTCCGTAGATAGATCGGGACGCCCACAACCCGAGCACGCACAACAGCCTAAAAGGAAGTCCTCGTTGCAGTTTGAATCCTTTTCCTTGTTCACGTTTGGAAGGTATCTGCAATTGAACAAGAGCCGTATGATTAAATCAGGTCTCGAACACTGACGAACCACGAGCCACAAAGGTTTGAAACTCTATCAGGACGGAAGGACCTCGGCTCACTTTGACTGCAACCTTCTGGCACTCCATACCACCGCCTACTACGTACATTTATAGTTAGATCAGCAAATTCGCAGTCATCATTTGCTGGTACAAGTCAACAATCCTTCACAATGACTAGGTCCAGCGACGAAACGGTACCCAAGGAACTATGGCGACACTCGAGCCCTTGCAGTACCCAGATTTACGACTTCATTCAATCCGCCAATGCCAAGCATGGCCTGTCCATGTCCACTTACAATGATCTCTGGCAGTGGAGTGTCTCTGAGCCCGCCAAGTTCTGGGAGGATGTATGGAAATATACTTCCATCAAGGCCCATAAGTCATATGACTGTGTAAGTATACTAATACGCTCTTTCAAAGCGCAACACAAAGGCTGCTGTTGGTGCTTGTCTCCTTTGATATATGATGGCTAATTATCCTTACAGGTCCTGAGCACGGACTCACTACTTTTCCCTCGTCCCAACTTTTTCGAGGGGAGTAGGCTTAACTTTGCTGAGAACCTCCTGTATCCATCTTCGTCTCCTGATGAGAACGCGGTTGCGATAATCGCTGCCACGGAAGCGGATCGGGAATTTGTGACCTGGAAGGAACTGCGCGACCGCGTACGCAAATGTGCCAACTCTCTGAAACAGTCGGGCCTGCAGGAAGGAGACCGGGTGGCAGGGTTTCTTGGTAATCATACCAACACTGTTGTGGCGATGCTGGCAACGGCATCAATTGGCGCCTTCTGGACAGGCGTCTCGCCTGATACTGGCGTACATGCGGTGCTAGAACGTCTCAAGCAAATAGAACCGAAGATCTTGTTCGCCGACAATGCATCTCTATACAACGGGAAGGTGCACGGGACCGATGCTAAATTGCGTGAACTCGTGCCGGGGCTGCCGAACCTGGAGTATCTCGTCATATTCGAGACAATCCAGTCCTACAAACTAGACCCTCAATTCTTGGTACCACTACGTGGCAAGGTTCTTACCTACAAATCATTTCTTTCTACGGCCAGCAACCCTTCTGCCCCTTTGGAATTTGCAAGTCTGGGACCCGAACACCCTGTCTACATCTTGTATTCCTCGGGAACTACAGGGGCACCAAAGCCGATTGTCCATGGTGCGCTGGGAACGCTGCTGCAACATAAAAAGGAACATGTGCTTCACTGTGATATTCGTCCCGGAGATCGCTTGTTCTACTTCACGACGACTACTTGGATGATGTGGCATTGGCTTGTTTCCGGTCTTGCCAGTGGCGCTACCATTGTGCTCTATGATGGTTCCCCTTTTCGGCCATTCGACCCGGAAGGTGGGAAGGGTGAAATGGCAATGCCACGCCTGATTGACGAATTGCAAATCACGCACTTCGGAACTTCTGCCAAATACCTTTCCATGTTAGAGCAGGCTTCCCTACATCCAACCAGTCACCCTCACCGTCCAGTAAGCTTGAAAACACTGAAAGCTATTTTTAGTACGGGCTCTCCATTGGCGCCGTCTACATTCGAGTACGTTTACTCGTCTATCAAGGCAGATCTCATGTTGGGTTCGATCACCGGCGGGACCGATATCTTGTCGCTATTTTGCGGCAGTTGTCCCATCCTACCTGTCTACAAGGGAGAGATCCAGTGCCGCTGCTTGGGAATGGCTGTTTCAGTCTACGATTACGCTGGCAATGACGTTTCTACTTCCGGTGAGGCCGGCGATCTGGTGTGTACGAAGCCATTTCCTGCGCAGCCTGTCATGTTCTGGCCTCCCGGTCCGACAGGAGCAGAGAAATACCGCAAGAGTTACTTTGACGTCTTCGGGCCGACAATCTGGCACCACGGTGATTTCGTGCGTCTGGAACCCCACACTGGAGGTGTAGTGATGCTGGGTCGCAGTGACGGAGTTCTGAAGCCAGCCGGTGTTCGGTTCGGTAGCGCAGAGATATACAATGTTCTATTGAAACATTTTGCAGATGAGGTGGAAGATTCTCTATGTATCGGGCGTCGGCGGGATGGAATTGACACCGATGAAACAGTCGTTCTTTTCGTGAAGCTGGAATCGTCTGGTGACGCTCCAACGACCATGCCGCCCGACCTCGCAACTCGCATCCAAGCGACCATTCGCAAGGAGCTCAGCCCTCGTCATGTCCCGGGAATTGTGGATGTCTGTCCCGAGATTCCGGTGACATCCAACGGCAAGAAAGTTGAAAGCGCTGTGAAGCAGATCCTGTGCGGTCTCAATATCAAGATTGGTGCCAGTGTGGCCAATGCCTCGTGCCTTGACTGGTATCGCGCTTGGGCTGCGGCGCACCCATAGTTTCGTAGTAAGATCTCCCTCAATAGATGGTCTGGGAAAAGCTTAGAGTGAAGCAGTATGCAAGGTTAAGATTGTTTGTTCACGGCCTATAGAACTAGATAATGAATTATTTCTTCTTCCAGTGGCGAGGGTCAATGGTGTCTCTGCTTTGTCCGCATTACTCAATTAGCGATTCTAGATCTCCCATTACTAACCAGGTGCAAGTTGGAAATCCAGTTTTACCGATGACTCAGGCTCTGTAGGAAGGTAATACAAAAAGAACGTAGCGTGTAATTACAAGACAAACAATCCCAATTGGAAAGCAATTCGTCAATCCAAACACATCATATCCTGCTTGTTCTAATAGACAAGTCTGACGTCGTGCGCCGTGCCTGTGGTGATTAGATAAGCGATCTGAGTCCAAATCCTTGCGGGCGCCGGCCGTGACGACGACATCTCCGGAAACGCCGCAGCTTTCACGCCGTCCGGGAAAGAGAGCAATTTTGAATTGAGTACTCTCGGCCCATTTCATCCATTCATATCTGTCAATATGCGCCGTTCTGTACTACGGGCCGTTGAGTCCGCAAAGCCTCTTGCCCGCGTGCCTCGTTCCGCATCGAGAGGCTTTGCTACTGTCAATGAGAATGGTTCTAAGGTAAGTTCTTCCAATGCAGGGAATGTCACTTGATGGTTCTGGTCGGACTTGGGATTAATTCTAACTACTTTGTTTTTCACTGTGTAGGACCCTGCCGAGCTTGATCAGATCACCACTTTGCCCAACGGTATCCGCGTCGCTACGGAATCCCTGCCTGGGCCCTTCTCTGGTGTCGGAGTTTACGTCGATGCCGGATCTCGCTATGAAGACGAAAGTCTGCGGGGTGTGAGCCACATCATGGATCGTCTGGCTTTCAAGTCGACCAAGTCGCACACCAGTGATCAAATGCTTGAGGTTCTGGAGAGCCTTGGAGGAAATATCCAGTGCGCTTCCTCTCGTGAATCCTTGATGTACCAGTCTGCTAGTTTCAACTCCGCTGTCCCGACGACTCTGGGACTGTTGGCTGAGACTATCCGGGATCCTCTTATCACAGAAGAAGAAGTGCTTCAGCAGTTGGCTACAGCTGAGTATGAAATTGGAGAGATCTGGTCCAAGCCTGAGCTCATCTTGCCCGAGCTGGTACATACCGCGGCCTACAAGGACAACACATTGGGAAACCCTCTGCTTTGCCCGCACGAGAGGCTGGGCGAGATCAACAAAGCGGTGGTTGATAAGTACCGTGAAACCTTTTTCAACCCAGAGCGCATGGTTGTCGCTTTTGCTGGTGTGCCGCACGCTGAGGCCGTCAAGCTTACAGAGCAGTACTTCGGTGATATGAAGACACACAAGAAGACAGACGGCCCTGTTCTCTCGGGCACGGGCATCGAGACTACTTTGTCTGAATCGCAGTCCGCCGCTGAGGAGGGCCAGGTGCCCACCATTCCCCAGTTCACTCCGTCGTCCACCACAACTACCACCGCAGCCTCCCCCAAGTCGGGATTCCTTTCCAAGCTTCCCTTTTTGAAGAACCTCTCCAACTCCGGCTCTCAGAGTTCCTCCACGTCGCCGCTTGACCCATCATTGGTGCAGTCGTCGACGTTAGATATCAACCGTCCTTCCCACTACACCGGTGGTTTCCTCTCTCTTCCTCCCATTCCTCCCCCTGCAAACCCCATGCTGCCTCGGCTGAGCCATATCCACCTTGCCTTCGAGGCCCTTCCGATCTCGAACCCTGATATCTATGCCCTGGCAACCCTCCAAACACTCCTTGGAGGTGGCGGTTCATTCTCTGCCGGTGGTCCCGGTAAGGGAATGTACTCGCGTCTCTACACCAACGTGCTGAACCAGCACGGATGGGTCGAAAGCTGTATCGCGTTCAACCACAGTTACACGGATAGCGGAATCTTCGGTATCTCCGCATCTTGCAGCCCGACACGGACCACCGAGATGTTGGAGGTCATGTGCCGCGAGTTCCAGGCTCTCACTCTCGACACGGGCTACCAAGCCCTGCAGCCGCAGGAGGTTAACCGTGCGAAGAACCAGCTTCGCTCTTCGCTCCTCATGAACCTAGAGTCGCGTATGGTGGAATTGGAGGACCTCGGACGTCAGGTCCAGGTGCACGGCCGCAAGGTTGGTGTCAAGGAAATGTGCGCGCACATTGAGTCTCTGACTGTGGAGGACCTGCGCCGGGTTGCTCGGGAAGTCTTTGGTGGTCTTGTCGAGAACAAGGGCCGTGGCACTGGCAGGCCCACTGTTGTTTTGCAGGAAGGCGAGCTGGAGGGTTACAGGCTCCGTCCTTTCCCCTGGGAGGAGATCCAAGAACGGATTGCCCGGTGGAAGCTGGGAAGGAGGTAATTTGCCGTGCAGTTAAAGCCCCGACATCGCAGCGTCTACCTGTGCTGTTCACGGGGTATAGAGGGATGTAACACTTCCATTTTCTTCACTCCATGTAATTAGAGATAGCCATATACAATCATGTACAATATATATGCCCGAACATTTCCTTTTCCCTGGAACAATTGAACGTATAAATTTGGGGCGGCGTCGCGTGGATGCATCGGCTGCAGTAGAAGCTCCTTACCGTATTGAGTTCGTTTCCGCCCGGGAAAAAAGTTGGATCCGGAAGGTCGAACCCGCCGTCCTCCATCAATCTCCGTCCGTCCTCAACACTTTCATTCCATCACCTCGACCCTCGCCCGTACTTCCTGCGACTCATTCTACTATCAATACACCTTTTTAATTCACTTACAACCACCGTCATAATGGTCAAGCTTACCGAAGTCGAGGATGAGCACTTCTCCCAGGAGAAGCCCATGCCCAGCAAGCACAATGTCCTTCTGACCTCGGACGACGAAGAGGAAGACGACTACACTGACACCGGTTAGTATCCTGATAACCCATAACTCAAGGCACAATTCAACCGAGCGCTTGTTTTGCTTGAACAATTGCACTTTTACCTTCACCTTCATCCACCGCGCAACAACATCCGGAGGCATTATCAATCACGCCGAATCTGATCCATCTGTCCATCCGTCCATCGGCGCAGCCGTTCAAAACACATGGCCTTCCTTTTCTAACATGCCATACGTACAGAATCCGAAATCTCCGTCGAGTCCGACCTCGAGGTCGATGGTGAGACCTTCTATGACCGTCTCTACGCCCTGAAAGACATGATTCCTCCTTCCACACGCCGCTCGGTCACCAGCACCGTCAACTCCGTCACCTCTTTCACAAAGTCCAGCATCCAGTTCAGCGGTAAGGCGCTGTGGATCATCAGCACCAGTGCCTTCCTCCTCGGTGTCCCGTGGGCTCTGGCGTACGCCGAAGAGGAGCAGTACATCCAGATGGAGCGCGAGCAGGGCATGATCAAGGGCGCCAACGAGGTACGTTAAAGCCATTCTCTTTTTCCATTTTCACTTTCGCCGGGCTATCCACTTGTCGCTTGGCTATCACTATTATTGTTATTGCCATATCGCCTTGTCCCGAGGCAGTTGGCGATGACGTGAAAACTCTTTTCCGTTCTTATTACGTGCCAAGAACGGAGATACAGACGTCATTTGGATCCCCCGTCCTTTTTTCGATATCTTGAGAAATATCCGAACAGCAGCTAATTACATTGTTCTCTATCATCAGATGCTTACGCCCGGTGCCCCCGGTGAAGAGAAGCCCGCTCAACCCTCCTTGTAAATGAATACCGCTGCCAAAGATGAAGATCGCAACAGGTGGGAATAGTTGATTTGCCATGGCCTGTCGAACCGCCACTACCCTAATATCGAGCCTGTCCGAAACCCCTGTTGTCGTTAGGCTTTTGGTTTCTCACTGAATTCGGGCGGTCTTCCGGGAGCGCAGCGTCAACGTTCAGGCGGTGACGTTCATCGATGAGGTCACATGCACATCTAGTCGATTTTTCTGTTCCAACACAACAAGAAAACGAGTCAGACAACTTTGATTTAGCGATGCATGATCCGGATTACTTTGGGATAAAAGCAGGTGTGTACTATCGAGGATATGGAATAATCGTGAAACAATCAACTCATTGAACTGAGTTGGCGCGAGGAAGATATAAAAGGGATGGTATGGTTTCCACATGGACCTGAAGGAAAATCTTGCCCACTTGTTACTGTTCGGAATCTCTGGCCTTTTAACTTGACGCTTTTTCTCCTCTCTCAACCTTTGATTCCAGAACTTCTGGCTTGGGCGATGTGTGTATTTCTATACTGGTTTATTTTCCCCCTGGTTACAATGTTCGTTTCGTTTTATGTCTATTTCCACCATTTTTGGAAGTCATGTTTCTAGATAATGAAATGTGAATGATCTTGAGATATATTCAGGAAGAAAGCTAGATGAGCCGCGTACATTTTGTCCCTGCGCTAGGAGAAGACCGAAGATGAATAACAGAAATAGGGTATCATAGCATAAAGGAAATGTACAAACAAGCCCCTGAAACGAGACAACAACAAGATGTTTATGAACAGAAGAATAGTGTAAAGGCGCGCATTCGAAGAAAGTGGTGATCCTGACCAGGGGAAGAAATACACCGTCTTAGACCGAGTACATAAGACTGTCCAGACAAACCACCCATGAATGGATCAAATATGTGTAATCGAAAGCATCTCATCAACAGCGAAGCAGAGGCAGCTTGCAGTACTCACTACCCAAGAGTCTATGTAATAAATGACATGGTCAGCAAATGCTCTCAACTATCGCGTCAATCTTAAATGATGACGATGATGATGATGAATATCAAAAACATACCGTAGTTTCTCTCGCAGTTCGTAAATTAATGTGAAAATCTCGCCACAGTTTCTTGACTTCGCCATTCGCTATCATTGATTCAACTGCTTTCACGGCGTACTTGGTTTTCTTCTTCGTGCTCCAGTGGCTGCGCTCCACGACTCTCGTCTCGGATAGATATCCCTGGTGTTCGAGGTAGCCGGTCACCCATTCGTTGAGGTGGAAGCGCCAGTGGGTTAGGGTGTGGGCTAGGGTTGCTTTGTTTTTGCAGTGGCTAGTTGTGGTGGGGAGGATGGTGTTAGCATGTATGGGATGGGATCTGTGGAAATCGGTGGAGTGAAAGGGGGAGGGGATGGGATGCTTACCGGCCGAGGAAGAATCGGGTGTTTTCGTCTGGTAGGATGTGGCCGTCTCGGTCTCTTTCTTCGTGGTTATCATCTTCGTGTTCGTCTTCTTCTTTGTCGTCGTCGCTGTCATCGTCGGTAAGCGGTTCAAGCGTTTTCAGTGAATAGGCTTTCCCGTATAGTTTGATGTCGAATGAGGCTGGATGACCTGAGCGGTTGCAAGCATCGCATGGGTGGTTCTCTATTGTTGGGAATGTTGTGATCTCAATCTGAGGTCGGGCTAATAGAGCTCTCCGGAATTTGGCGTTCCAAACAGATGAGACGAGCTGTGATCCGGTACGGCCCTTGACTTCGTCTTCGAGTTTGCTGAAGGCAACTTCGTAGACCGGATCGGAGCGAGGGAATGCCGGGTTGAGTTGATTATGCACCATCCACTCTACTGCGTCTTGGAAGTAGTCCTTGAGTTGTTTGTAGGCATGTCGCGAGAATTCGATGGGGATGTCCTCTAGGCCCGTGGGAGCCCCTAGAGTATCATCATCGTCTTCTAGCACAAAGTCGTCTTCATAACGGTCTAGATCATCGTTGCTTGCGATCGCAGATTCAACGTCACTTTCTTCTAGTCGGGTACGGAACTGAGGCTTCCGTTTAGGGCTCTCTTCATGGGTTTCGGGTTCGTCCTCTTGTTCACTTCCGTTGTCACCGTCACCATCGCTGTCGCCGTCGCCCGACTCCGACTGCACAAGATCACTCTTAGATTCCTCGGTATCAGATGCTGTCTTTCCTGCCCTCCGACGACGTAGAGCTTCCAGGTGTTGCTGTCTTTGGGCCCGTGCTGAGTTGGCAAGTCGACCTCGAGTGCGGGTTTCTTTTACCACTGTAGACAGACCTGTCAGAGCGACAAGAACTGGAGAGGGTCTCATATGTTGGTTATGTGGGATTACCTGAGTCCTGCAACGCCTGAAGATCTTCTTCTATGTCTAATTCGTCCTGTTCAAGCCCGCGACGCGGCGTCTGGGGGACGTCGGGGCTTGCGTTGCGCGTCCTGCGCTTTTTGGGAGAGATGACCAATTCTTCTTCCGAGTCATTATCGTCGGCCGCGATAGCAGGCTGGGGGGCCACACCACGCCTCAGCTTTCGACGAGACGCAGGAACCACCTCATCTGCATCGCTTTCCGAATCAGCGGCGGGTTTCTGCGGGGTCGCGGAGGGAGATTCAGAACTGGATACGTCCGTCCTCTTGCGCTTCAATGATCCTCTTTGTGGGTTTTTGCGCGTGCTGCGCACGATCTCTATATCGCTGTCGCTGTCGCTAACTGGTTCTGCTTTGGGTTCGGGGGTACGTTGGGGCGGAGACTTGGCTATCGACATCCCACTAAGTCAGTATCGATTATCGTGCAGTGAATATGATAAGAACTCACCGTCTTTTTGAGAGCGACCTCTCCGAAGGAATGGCATGGAAGGATGCGCATAGCGCAAGTTTGCGCGACGATCATCCTCTTTGTCGGAGTCCTCTTTCTTCGTCGGCGGGGAGCTCAGCGGAGCGAAAGCCAGCCGCGTCTGCTTTTTCTTGCCGTATGTGCGGGGCATCGGGGGGTGGCGCAGGGATCGGCTATTTATGGTAGTAAAGGTTGCTGAGTATAGTCCGAGTAGAGAATGGACGTTTCGCGCTGATTGTAGAAATAGTGACCAAGTCGAAGGACTGAATAGAGACTGTCATAGGGATCTGATGTCTTCACTGAGCGCGCAAGAGTCGCGTCTCGGTGTCACGAGAGCACGTGATGGCTAATAGCTACCCAAAATGGTCAGTCACAGTTGGTATACTCTGAGTGTCACTTCTAAGAACAAATCAACATTCCTTCAACTAGTTTTCAATGAGCTTTTGGACAAGCTTTGAACTTGATTGAAGTCGTCAAGGAGATGGCTTGATTTCTCATTACTGGAAGTTTATTTTGCTCTCATTAAATCCATGTGGTTTGCCAACGCTATGGTGGACCTTCCACTGAGGTGTAGGCGACCTATGCATGGTCTAGCATAAGCCAAGACAACTTGAAGCTGTCGGGCTCCTCTCCCCCCTATGTGGGACATGATAGAGTCATGTTTATCCTCTGGCATGGGTTGCGGTTTCCTGAATAGAATTGGCATACCCAGAATGTGACTTGGCTTACTGCATCACGAGCACCGCTCAGGAAGCTCCATAGTATATAGTAGTCTCATCACATTGATTGACTCAGACTTCTTCCACAGCATTTTAGCAGGCAGTTTCTTGCATAAATCTGCATATCAATCACTCACTCTATTCCTTTCTCATGTATTGTCAACAGCACCTTTTTGCACTTTTCTATGCAGTATTGGGAGCTATCTCCAATATTACCCAAGATGGCCCTCTGCCGACCCCATACCGAGCAGTAGGTGATGACCACCAAGTTTCATGCTCGGACTCCTTGTTTGATGCTTCGAGGTTTGTCGCAATATCCCCAACAAAGGGTCCAGAGGACCCGGGATGTGCAGTATCCTTGACGTGTCCTGGGGTTTGGGAGACCATGAAAAGGGACCACAGAGAGAACGGGAACACGGTTGGCGGTTCACATCCTCCAAATGCAGTTGAACCGACTTTCAAGCTCACCTTGGCGATAACAAATGTTGAAGACCGATCAACAGGTATGCATCACTGCGAAAGTGTTTTAGAGCAGCTCGTTCTCGAAAATAGTGTGGATGACCTGCAACATTCGATAGCCTCTGTCCGGTCGTCGGCTCCCCTTCAGCAAAAAGCTGCCTCTCAGGAACACAGAACGAGGAGATGGCCACGTCAAGAGATGCCAACGAATAAGACTGACACGAGTAGAGTCAAGGAGGCACCTCCATCAAACCCCCTGACGCAAGGCTACCATGGGATCCTGAAATATATCATCTCGAAAATGGAGAATGGTAAGAGCCGCCGCAAGAGGACGGATGCCTCATCCGATATCTCTCCTAACATTGGTGTGAGGCAATACTATGTTCAGAGGGACCTATACAGCCTTGGTGGACCGACTTGCGAGGATACCATATGTGAGGGAAGCGATTGGAGGACGCTATGCATTTCGGATCAAATCCCAGACAATAAAAGGGATCAATGCATCATGTGTTATCCCCGAAAGCATATGACGCTTATACATGGCTATTGTCAAGAACAGAAGTATAGGGAGCTGGACATATTCTACAAGACATGCGCTCTGCTGGGTGCATCGATCCTCGCGGCTACGCTCTTATACTTGCTGCGTGAAATCTATAGGAGACTTCGGATGCGATACCAATGTCTCCAGGACATTTGTCACCGCAGTCAGCTCTCAGGAAGTACTACTACGAAGACCGGATTTTCGTCTATGCATCCTATTGGCGCATTGGCGTCTTTGTTCCCTGGAGTTCCTAAAGCGTGGAATTACCCACGACGTCTATACAATGGGGCCGTCGACGGGGCCAATACCCCTACAGGCAATGATACGGTGATCCGGCAAAAGTTCCGGCGGTTTGGGCCATTCATGAAAGATCACCGCAGGAGAGTACAGGACATCTTCGATCTCGAAGATTACCAGAATGAGCCAGAGCTGGGCACTAGAGTTCCGGTGCTACCACGAGCTCGCAATGCAAGCATACGAAGACATGCTGTAAGGTCGAACTCTCGCACGAATTCTCATTCGAACGAGGACGCCAGTTCGGATTCCAAAGTGGCAGAGGACAAAGTTTCCCGACGGACGACTTCTCAGCAGAGCTATTTCAACTGAAGTTCGTGGCCGAGTATACGGTCTCAAAATTATGACTGTTATCAAGAGAATGTATGTCCTAGTCACTATGAAGTATGATAGTATGAATAAATTGCAGTGTATAGAAATGTGCTGCACAATGGTGGTTGTTCTGGCCCTGCGCAAAAATGGCACCTGCTTCTCAAAGCTAAAGGGCGGCCACAACTAGGACGAGACCAAGTAGCGCAGGAATGCTAGCCTCCCCGTCAAAAGTCCTTCATATGAGCTATTGATAGTTGCGCTAAGACCAATTCAATTTGTTCGTATCCGGGGTCATTCGCATTGTCGCGTATCATCCACTGAGCAGCCCGGCAACTCTGGCATGTGTCTCTGTCACGAATCGTTGGAATAGGAGGATGGATCTAGAAAGCCATGAACTAAAAGCAAGAAGAAGAAAAAGAGCCTGATAGGAATACGAGAGCTGGCTTCGGATGGATCATCGGGCGAGATTAATTTCAGGGGGATCAAGGCCTTGTCTCGTGACCCCAGCCCGTCGCCATCGGATTGCCCAACCTGTTCTTCCCTCCGTCTGCTCCATCCTCTCCTCCACTCCTCCCCGCCTCCCCCAATTCTCCCTTGGCCTCCATGTGAATCATCCAGGAGCTTAGACGCTGGTCCTATCATAACCCCTGTTTCATTCCATTGGTGGACCCTCTTTAGCCCTCCTACCAACCTTCGCGTTGCTGATTCGTGGAAACACCTGTGGATATCTACCGCGCCTGGCTCAGAATTTCCTCGAATCTCGACCCCGGATTTCTCCACATTACGACTACCCCAACAATGGCCTGTTCTGGGGGAGTCTGGGGATGGCACTTTGAGCTTTCCCCGTGAGGCCCACCCCGGATACCCCACCACCGACAAAATCCTGGAGACGAATGGTCGAATGCCGTGCCCTACACACTGTCTGATCCTGGATGCTAGGACCTCTGATAGCCCAGCTCCCCAAGAATGCCTCCGCGTTAGCGTCCACACGAGTCCTGGAACTGGTGTTATAGCGCCCTATGGCTTAATATAGCGCTTGCCACCTGGCTGCTGGCACGCGGCATGGTAGCTTATCTAGCGGCATGACCGGCGCGCCTCTACCAGGTCGGATATATATACCTAGTGCCGCAGGACGCAGTCCTTTCTCACCTTCTTTTTCTGTACACAAACCACTGCAGCCCCTTATTCTTCTTGGGCAGTCTCGACTAGCTGGGGCAGCTGTAAGGACTGCTGACCACCCACCTAGGAATCACTTCTATTTGCTATCAAGGCGTATTCAGGTCGCTTACGGCCTTCACTGCCACGATGTTTGATTACGATCTTGAAGTCAATCCTTTCCAATCAAAACGAGCCTATAACTGGTACTCATGCTTCGCTGGTGTGTGTGGAAAGAGTCACTATACTAACATCCGTTAGGTTCATCTCCCTCGTCGCAGCAGCATGCATGGTCTTATACGGTTACGATGCGTCCGTTTATAATTCCGTACAAGGCTCGGACAATTGGGTGGCCTACTTCAATGACCCTGACGAGAACATGATTGGAGGTGTCAACACGGCCTACACCGTGGGTGCAATTGTTGGCGGCTTCTTCATGGGCGGTCCCATTGCCGACTTTCTGGGTCGCAAGATCGGAATGGCCATTGGATGCATCTTGGTCATCGCTGCTACATTCATGCAGTGCTTTGCGCCTCGAGGCAACATTGCATGCTTCCTTGCCGGACGATGCATCATCGGTATTGGCCAGGGTATCGCACTGAGTAAGTTTTCCATCGGTGTTCTTAGCAGAGATGACAGAGTTCTTACTGACGCTGTCTTGTTCAGCTGCGGGTCCCATCTATATCGGTGAACTAGCACCTCCGGAGATTCGTGGAAAGATCATGACCTTCTGGCAAATGTTTTACTCGGTTGGCTCCTTCATCTGCTTCTGGGTGAACTACGCGTGCACCAAGCACTCCACACACTTGGGCGAGTGGGATTGGAGAATGGTTGTCATCTTCCAACTCTTGGTTCCTGTGATCATTCTCTTCATCTTGCCTACCATTCCCGGTTCGCCACGATGGTAAGCGCTATTGTGAACCCACATGCGTGAAGTACCCCTATTGACATCCGCACAGGTATATCCAACGCGGTAACAACGTCGAAAAGGCCCGCAGAGCGCTGCGCAGAGTTCGAGCAACCGAGGACGAGGTTGAAGATGAGTTGCTCAGAATCCGCGAGGCCATCGAGTACGAAAAGGAAGCTATCTCTGGCACTTACGCCGCGCTGTGGAAGGACAAGTCCCTCCGCAAGCGCATGTACTTGGCTCTTGTCATCAACGCCGGACAGCAAGTCAGTGGACAGGGTACCTTGAACACGTACTCCACGAAAATTTACGAGAAGGTTTTCAAGAGCGCTAACCAAATCGCGCTTATCAACGCACTCAATGCCACCTTTGGTATTATCTTCACTCTGAACGCCATCTGGATCATCGATCGATTCGGACGCAAGTTCCTCCTGATCGTTGGTGGCATTGGTATGGGCATTTGCATGATCATCGTCGCAGCCGTTGAAACAGAAACACCCTCACCAGGTGGGGCGAAGACAGAATCAGTCGGCATATCGATTGTGTTCTTACTTTTCTTATTCATCTTCTTCTGTGAGTTCCTCTGAATTCATCTATTAAACCCATGCTAATCATCTTAACAGACAAACCCTCCTGGGGCGCTACCATCTGGATTTGGACATCCGAGGTCTTCTCTATGAACGTCCGCGCCCAAGCCGTGGGTATGGCAACTCAGACCCAAAACGTGGCCAACGCCATCGTGCAGCAGTTCTTCCCAACCTTCCTTAACAACTGCGGCTTCTACGCCTTCTACATGTTCGCGGGCATCTGCTTCCTCCTCGCTCTATTTGTGTTCTTCTTCGTCCCCGAGACCAAGCAGGTGCCGCTGGAGGAGATTGATGCCCTTTTCGGCGGAGCCAACCACGTCACACAGGGTGAAGACCTCTTCTCTAACGAGAAGCAAATGCGCGTGACGCACCAGGATACGGGGATGGAGAAGCCCAGTGCTGTTACGGTCGAGGATGCACGACGTTAATTGATTGAAGTACTGTGTGATTTACGATAATGATGTAAGCCATGTGGCATTGGCGGACTATGTGAGCAATTCAACCTAGGTTCAATCTTATATACCCTTACCCTTCTTCACCTATACCGTACACACCAATCACATCTACAAGAAAGTAGTATATACGCGTAAGGAAATAACCAAACAGCTCACCTCCTATAAACCGTCCTCGTAACCAATCCCCCACCCTCAACACCACCACTGCCTTCCCCAACCACATTCTCCCTCACCACACACTCCCACTCCACAACCGACACCCCCTCCATCCGAAACACATACTCATACTTCGGATCCCTCTCCTTCTCCCGATCCATGGGTCTCGCCCCCGCCCCAGCCCGAACCACATAATTCGACTCATTCCCCCTCCCCTTTTCACTACTACTAGTAGTAGTATCTTCCTCAACGCCAGAAGCTGGGGCAGGAGGCATAATCCGCTCCGCCAACCCCACAAACACCCCATGCGAGAACTTCCCCGCATGAAACGGGTCAACATCCACGTTCCAGATGAGGATCTGGCCGTTCTTCTTGCTCCAGGTTCCTTCGGTGAGGCGGTAGATGTAGCGTTTCTTCATCATCTCAATATTGCTGTCATTATCATTGGTATTGGTGTGATGCAGCACTTCCTCGTATACATATTCCTTCTCGTACCAGATACTGGATGTGCGACGGGGATGGAAGGTAGCTGTTCCAGTGACATGCGAGATCTGGGATGAGCGGGTTGGTGTGGGGAGCGATGACGGTGAAGGTAGGATGTGAGTGACTGTGCGAGTATAGATCCATTGTCCGTGGAGGGCGCGGAATATGGCCATTCCCATGCCGAGATTGTAGTTTGTTGGGCTGGGGGTGATGGTTTGGTGGAGGGATTTGAGGGTATTGGTGCTTTCGCGCGCGATGAGGGTGGAGAGGCGGTCTGTTGGTGGGGTGGGGGTTAGGTAGGGGGTCGGGATGTAGCGGGAGGGGAGGACGGGGCCGTGGTTTATTGTGTCGTTGTGAGTGTGGTTGATTTTGTTGTAGGGATTGGATGTGGATGTGGTGGATGGGATAGGAGCTCGAGGGATGTTGAGCTCGCGGGCTAGGGTTTCCATTAGGCCTACGTAGTCGCCCATTGGGAATTGGCTGCGGGGGAGGGTTGTAGTGCGGAGGGTGCGGAGGAGGTCGCGTTCGTTGGTCTTTTGGGTGAGTTCTTCGTTGGTGAAGTAGGGCCCTGTGAAGGAGAGGTCTTTGGCCCATGTGTTTGCGAGACTGCGGGCTTGCATTTCCATTGCGCCCCAGTAGGGGCCGCGATAGAAGCCGACGAAGCCGAGGTCGGGGATCTCGGCGTGCGAGGTGCCTTTGCCGTCTAGGATGAGGGGGATGAAGGGGTCGGTGGTGGAGTATTCGAGCGTGGAGAGGACGGGCGAGGGGAGGAAGCTGAGGGATGAGAAGGGGGTGTAGCCGGTGGCTGTTATTATGGCGGTGATGTCGGATATGGTTTCTTGGGTGCCGTTGGGTAGGGTGATGGTGAGGGTTGATGGGCTGTTGATGTTGGATACTCGGCCGATGGTGGGTTTGATGAAGCCGGAGCGCACGTATTCGGCGTAGTCGTCTCCTATGCCGATCCATGATGGCTGCGGGTCTTCGCTCTCGCTGCTGGGGATTCCGAAGCTGCCGATTTTTGCATACTCATTACCGAGGAGGGAGCGGAAGTATGCATTTGTCTTGTGTATGCGGTCTGTGGAGAGCGGTCCGAGTCCGTACTCGACTTCGCCGGGAGGGCGTCGAGCAAGATCGTAGAAGACGAGATCAAGGGGAAGGAATTGCATGTTTTGCGTCTTGGTATTATCCTGAAAGCCATCATGGGGAAGGTGAGTAGGTATTGTCCAGAAGGGCCTCGAGGAGATGTGATGGACTTCGTAGTCTCGCCCGGATTGGATCACCGGGGGTTTGTAGTCCATTGTAGATAGATGAAGCGCCACTGTCGAAGCAGCTTCCACTCCCGACATACTGCCCCCAATAACGACCAGCTTCCCACCCGAGGACCCAGTTCTCTCCAACAGCCGCTGCACTTCGTCTATAGTCTGTACTTCAGAGCTGTGAACAACCCTGTCAGCGACCCCAGCCAGACCAGGTATATCCGGGAAGTGAGCTTTGGCAAAGTATCCAGACGTGACGACCAGATAGTCGAACTCTTCCGATTCCACCTCAGGTCCGTTGCATTCAATGCCATTTGCATCTATGCTGTAAGCCATTAGCCATCAGCATCATCTGAACGGTAAGTAAAAGAAGACACACCTTCTCGAAGTCCACTGCACCGTCCACCTAGCCCTCAAACCATCGGTCTCTCGAACCGTCCTCACAACCTCCTTCCCCAGCCTCAAAACCCCCTTGGGAATATACAAATTTGCATATTTCTCCAAATACTGCCCTACCTGTCTTGCCTGCGGGAACATCGACAGCTCCCTCTCCCCGATAACAGACTCCCACGCCAGATCCGAGAAAGCCACCGTGAACCGACTCAGGTTCGTCCGAATCCACGGGTTGAGCCGTCGCTCAGCGCCATGGTCAATCGCTGTGGGCCAGAGACCACCAATTCGGCTGTTTTTCTCAAAGACGCTGGGAATGAAGGTGCCCTCGGGGAAGCTGTGTAGGAGGGTTTTGGCTGTTACTAGTCCCGAGGGGCCGGCGCCTGTAGTGGGATGTTAGTCGATGGCTTTCGTTTGGTGGCGGGGTGTACAACTTGCCGATGATGGCGACTTTCTTGGGTTGGACCATTATATATACAGCTGGTTGTCTTGGTCCAAGGCTTGGTGGTGAAATGAAGGAAAGATGATGGTGTGGAGTTGTTGTTGAACTGGGCGGTTAGATGTTCCCTTTCTTTCTTTCCCCTCAGCTGCTTAGCTACTAGTTTACCCCTCATCTTATCACCGCGCGGCTGGGGAATGAACCCCTGTTCGCTATTGCTAGCGTTGGGGGATGCAGGGGCATGGAGGCGCAACTGTAATTGTTGGTACTGTTTATTAATATATTTTATCGTGTGGCAGTGGAAAGGTTGTGGGTTGGTTTGTCGGGGATATATATATATATATATGTTCTTGTAACATTGTGATGCTTATAGATGTGCATACTAGCATGGGACCTTAATGTATGCTCGTGCAGTAGTGGACGGACGCATCATCAAATTAGTGGCAAATTAAGTGCCACAAGCCTTCCTGTATGTTAATCCCAGCCACCTGACAAGGAAACCAACCAAAACTATTATAACATTCTAGCAACACACGAAAGGATACCTCTAAGATAAGCACTCCATCACCCCAAGCACCATGCTATACAGACAAACCCGAGCAAAAATCAGATAGAAACAACCGATCAATCAACCACCCATTAAACTGTAGATCCACCAAAAAAAGGGCACCCTCCCTCGAGCAGAACTGCTGAAGCAAAAGAATAGAATTCAATCATCCTCATCATCATCATAGCAAAGGAGTCAAGCGAGAAAAACAAAAAGTGAAACGGCCCGAGCCGCGGATCGAACGCGGGACCTCTCGCAGATATGCTTGGGTTTGTATCCCTAAGCGAGAATCATACCACTAGACCACCCGGGCGTTGCTTGTTGAAACACGTTTTCTTATTTTGCTTTACAAGAGGAAGCAAAACGCACACTTACTATGTCCAAGTGTGTCGCCTCTAGCGCCGACACCTGCATGCATGGCTGCGTCGTCGAGTGGATCAACCGTTATGCCAAGCACAAGCCCTCAAGCCGAGTGAACAACTATTTCCATATGTACCGGTCGGACAGAGTGCTGAGACAGTCGACTGAACAGGTCTTCACAAACTAGATCCCTTGAAGCTGATTCCCAGAGTATTCATTCAAGCATGTGAGAAGATGCGGGAGGTGAGTGCGCAAGGAAGCGTCGGTGTTCGATGGTATTCCCCACAGAAGGAGTTGCAGGAAGAGGAGGAGGTACGTAAGGATGGCGCGTCTCAGTAGGACAGTCGCTCAAGCCATGCAGAGATCTGCAACTCTCTGCTATGTTTGTCGGGAAAACAAGCATCGGTGAACAGCTGCTCCGTGACCAGAGCATCGACATTCCTCTCAGTCAAGGGGATCTTGTACCGGTTCTTTTGCCTGAGGAGGTCTCGCTCAGCACGTGCAGACGGCGACAGTTTCTGGAGGGTACTGCGAAGACGTCGCATGCCTCGACCTGGAAAATGTGGGATTCGGGGCGGTCCGAAAGGCGTATCGACTTTCCACGGATCCTCAGAAACGATGGAACGGGCGTTTTTCTTTCGCTGCAAGGACCGAAACTTGTTGGACATGGTAAGATTTCAAAGCCGCCAAAGGGTGATAGTATTGTTGGTGCCATCAAATGACGGGTGGTGCGTGAGTGTGCGAGGAGGGGCAGGAATGGGGAAGGGGAGAGAGGCTGTGGCGTAAAGAGGGAATATATAGTTTGCAGCCCTACTTAGGACTACTATGAAGGCCCACGGGAAAGGGTCACCGGGGCAGACGTGGATAGCGCGGCACCGCAGTGCGGGGGCACCCGTGGAGTGCACTAACTTGCACTAGTCTGAGCCTGTCTGAACGTGAATGAGGGCTGCCTTTTTTGCGCTTTTCTTTTTGCCTTGCCTCGACAATAGTCCTGCACGGGATTTACCAGAGACTCCGGGAGAGCGCCACTGCAATGATCCACAACTCCTCAGGCAGATTGAAAATCAGCCCAAATGAAATCTCACACTATTGTTATACTCCACCCAGTTCCTTTGCAAAAGACACCGCCAAAAGAAAGAGAAAGCCAAAAAGTTAGTCCGAGCAACGTCATAAGAAAACTTGGCTAGTTTTCACCCGACCAAGTGTTATCCCACCCAAAGTGGAGGGTGGATCTGCCACTTGTAGATCTTCTCCCACATCGCGCCCTAAAACCCAAGCACATCCACAGAGCCAAGGGTTAGTCTGCATTGCCTTTCATCTTGGCCATAGAGGCAGTGCGAACAACCCTACTACGTGTATGAGCTCCGCCCCCAAAGAAGAAAAGTAGTGCCTATCTGTGAAAATGTGCCGTACCTACACTAGCTGCTTCACTTTTTTTTTGTTTTCATGTATTATGCCATGCACATAATATTCCGCTGTCATTGATTGCCTCACAGATTGCCGTTGATGAATACTACTACTACCCTCTCTCCCCTCCCTTTTACCCCTAGATACTATCTACTACTCCGCACCAGAAAATCCTTCAGGATTCATGCATGTCTTGGGGCTTGGCAAAAAGCGAGTCTGCTTGAACTACATTCGCCTCCAAATGCTTGTGTAGTTGGAACAGGCGCCCCCTTCCAAGAAAGCGGGGGAATGGGAAGAGGCTCGCGTCCACTAGTGAGCAGAAGCGAAGCGAAAGCTTCGATGCGATTCCGCGGAGTATCTATTCCCCTTCTCTTGTCAGGAGAAAGTTAGTTCTTGCTATGATGTGGATGACATCTCAACAGGCTGAAAAACATAAAAAGCAAATACAAACATTCTTCAACTGTAATCATTTTCACCATCACACCAATCGCCTCGTCATGCCAAACTACTACTTACTCTCTGCACCACCACCACATTCCAGTAACCCCCGACACCCAGAACAGAATCACTCAATGTGGTAAAATGGAATGCGCCTAGAAGCACCAAAGAAGCCGAACCTCCAGTTGCGTGCGGGGTAAGAACCTAACATCGGTAGCCGCATCTAGACATCCGACTATTACACGCATCCACCCAGTTTAGGAAAAAGCCGAGAAATGGCCATACATAAAGTACACATCCTATCGATCTTTGGTGGAGATGTCGGATATGCGGCACATTTTTGGACTAAATCGTCGGAATCGCCATTACCACTACCGCATTCTCTTTTCTATAGCAAATGCTGTTAAGTAATGTTGGTCAAGTGATTGTGAGGGATTAGGATTCTAGATGGTGCGCTAGATACAAAGTCGAGACTTGGGATCGTCGCGCTGAAAGTCTTTCTATCATGAGAGTCGGCCGCGAGAGAGGGGAGGTAAGCAAAAAGTACGACAGTGTTGCTTGGCTCGTGCTTGGCTGGTCTGGGCTTCAAGTGTCATCGTGGATAGGAGCTGTGGGTGTAGTAAGCAGGTGGACTGTCATGGGGAAGTAGGTTAAACTTTATTAGGACGACCGTATAGGCGGGGAGGAGACAGAGTTTGGCGTCGCATTGTTGTCTTTCATGGCTTTGGTCAAGAGACCCTCATGTTATTAGACAGGAATGTGGGTTGGAATGCTATTGTGGGCTCAGTTGATAACCTCAGCGCGTGATCTTTTGGTAAGATTATTGACAAGTTTTGTGAACAATAATAGACTCTTCTAGATTCTATCTGACATTGCAGACTTGCAGACAATCCTCCCATAATACATTGCCAGACAAATCTAAATGGGATTATTTTAAAGACGAAGTCCGCGCTCAAAACATAACCATAACCGTTAACTCGCATTGGACCAGCCCGCCTACCTGAAACGATGACCTGAAGTGCCCAGAATAAGAACTAAAAGCAAAAACCAACGGCACCGGGCCAAACCGTTCATTACTAGTTCATGATATCAAAATTCCGCACGCCAATTGATCCCCGTACCTTACAAAGGAGACATCATGAGTGACTGTGAAAAAGGTGGAAAGAGAGAGCCGGCCACCATGACCCCTAGGAGATAAGCAAGTCTTTAACGCTCATCCCGATCTTCCTTTGTGGGTCCTGGGTGTGGGGATTTTCATGCCGGGTAGTGGAATTGGTGGGCACATCGTGGACCGAGCCGACAGATCCCCGGCAGTCCCGGTTCAGCATTAGTAGGGCAGCGGAGGCTTCGTGATCCACATCGGCAGAAGACGCTATGGAATACCTAGGCTGGATCACTGGGGAGGTGCTGGAAGAAGACATAGCCCAGGAGCCACGCTCAGAACGCGACGGATTGTCGGATGGGTGGGTTGGGCCCAGTGCCGGGCTTGGTGTGATGGACGAAAAATTGGGTGCATTCCCGGTAGGACCACCACTTCGGGGAGAAAACGCCGGGGAGATTGCATCCGTGGCAGCATCGGTGGGAGGTAGTTCCGGAGACACGGAAGCCGATGAAAGGCCCGACTCTTCTGCCAGAGCCTCCGGAGACGTTGGTGAAGGAGGGGCAGGAGGCATTCGCGGCGAGGCAATTGTGTGTCGATTACCGGCAGTTTTCAGATCGAGTATACATTGTTCCAGGTAATTGACGTAATCAATACTTGCCTAGGTCATCGGGTACGGTTAGCGACCGGCTTAAGGACAGGGGTCGTCGAAGACTGAGGTTGAGACGAACCTGTAAAATGGCGAGTTTGTGCATGTCCTGTCCTTTGCACGCTGGGATCATGTCTTTCAGGGTTCCAAATTCTTCATTCATTTTAGACCTCCGCCTCCGTTCGATCAAACTGTGAGCTGTCTTCCTAGCAATCTTTCGGCCCGCTGCACTAGTTGCGCTGGGTTGTTTCTTCTTGGAATTGGTCGAGGCACCATTATTTGCTGGCGTTTTGCCATTCTCTTTTGTGGATGCTTTGCTGGCTGCTGCGGTCGGCTTTGGCGGACTTTGCGTCTTGGGCTTCATCTGAATGATTTTGCGAGTGCGTGTGGGGGGTGGTGGAAGGTTAAAGTCTTCGAGAGGTCTCTTGACACCAGTCTGACGCGGGGAATTTGCCATGATACCCAGTGCAGGATTCGGCGATGCTGGAGACGCTGGAAAGAAAGCGGATGGATCCGACTTGGATGGCCTTCTGCTAGCAGCTTGCATCTTGGATGGACTAATGGCAGCTGGAGGCAATGCGAATGGATCTGAAGCGTCCACCGATGCATTGTCCTTGACTATGAACTCCCCCGACATGGCAGGGGTTGGTGGTAGACGAGAGCGTGACATGGCCTTTGTGGAAGTGAAACGCTCAAAGTCAACCCGATGATTACTCCTCCATTAGACGTGCTAATAGGGTGGGATGGTCAAGTCAAAAAAGTAAGATTGGACCAATGGTGGAGCAAAGTTGGATAACAACCCGTTGAGTGTCGTACAATCGTAAGCCGTCAAAGATGAAGAAGATAGGGGAAGTGGGATAGGATAGGACAAGAGAGGAAGAGAGGAGAGGCAAAGGGAAGAGGCAGTTGGACGGGCAAGAAGCAGAAATGGTTATTGAATCTAGGAAAAAGCAATATGACCAGAAGTGAACAGCTGGTGCTGGAGAGTTGGGGCTCCTGCACAAAGGAAGACGCACGGATAAACGCCCTGCCAAAGTGTTGGTACCTGGGTTAAGTTTATATGAAAGGATAGGGAGGGGAGAGGCGACACAACGAGGCAATAGTAGACCGGAGGTAATAGGTCGGGGGGGGGGGGGGGGAAGTGGGATTGCGATAAGAAACAGGTACTTCTACGGTGTATTGACTAAAAGTAGTGGTTACTTTTTCCCAAATTCTAATCGGGATGATCGACGAGGGAGAGGGGGGGGATTGGCGTTGAATTCTGGATTTTCGGGAAGCTTGCTCATTACCTATCTAGTAGTAGTTGCTGCTTGCTGCAGCCAGCATGCGCATACACCTCTTTCACTACCACCTTAGTAGAGTTGAGACCCGAGTACTAGGAATACTAGCAGTATAACCGTGGATGGGCCTGGGACTGGCCATCCCGAAGCGGAGGACCATTCCAAGTGTCGCGTGCTTAAAGAAGCCCACGCGGTAGATTGCTGGCCCGTCATTGGCCCAACAGCACCGCCGGATGGGGGGCACGAGACCGGTTGCCTGGGGCCAAACCGCCGACGCTTTTGGGGCTCGTGCTTCGGTCCAGAGTTCTTATGGGTTGTACGAAGCTGCCGGCTCATGTCCCTTACTTTTCGAGTCTTCTCTTCCCCTACTACCAGGTACCTAACTCAAGGTACTCCGTGGACTACTCACCTTGTGGTCTATCTAGTCTAATTGCATACTACTACTATGCGCCCCCCTTCTTCATGAATTCGGAAATCCCCACAAGCCACGGGTGCCGGAGTGATACCTCCTAGGTACTACTAGATACCAAGCTGCTCCCAATTCCGACCTGCACTTGCCAATTTACTAAAGATGGGGTTCAGATCCCCTACTCCTTTGAGCCCGACTACAATCTAGATAAAATTGCGGAATGGACCACGCTCACGCACACGACACGCTAATTGGTGCCGTTAAAGAGCGCAGAGGCTTGCGTCGCCACCGGGCTGACCCCGGATCCTTTTTCGATTGATACCAGTCTCATAACTTCCCGAAATGTCTCTCAATCTTCAAGCAATGCTCGGGTTCCTCAATGTGACAGAACCCAGGCAGGTGAAGCGAGGGGAAGTGAGCAAAGGGAAATACCATTCACACCATGAATCCTCATCGACTTCACTCACTATCGTCAGGAATCGAAGGTGTCCATAAAGTGGATCTGTCTAACATCCCAGACCCGCAAAGCCTGAGAATACGTCTCGGGACTCAAATGGTCATGATCTCACCTCGGCCGCTTGTCGAAGCCTGGCGACATTCTCGTCCAGAGGGGGCATTGGAGCACGTGCAAGCCGTCCTCCCAACCAGTGGACCCTCCTGCCACACGGGGTCGCATGTGCATGTCGGCCTCTCTCTGGTCCTTTCCCCTTTGGTATTCGGACAGACCGGTCCTCTCTGCTGCCTGGGAACTCTCCGCATCATACTCGTTATGCTCAGCTAGGCCAAGCGCCCGAGACACGCCCCAGTTGCTCCATTGTTACCAACCTTGCCGTCTACTCCATTGGCCGCCATGCCAGCTCATTAACCATCGTTATCATCCTCGCATCCCTTTAATTACCTCTTGCAGATTCTCAAATCCCAATAGCGGGGCAGAACTACCACACGGAAGCACATGCCCCGCAATGCACCTGTAGTAGTTTCTGCATGGACTATCGCTTGTCATGGTAAGCCAATGCTCTCTGTTGCTATTCGATTGGCTCTGGCCAATCGTATCTATCGGACAATGCGATGCTCTCCGTGCCGCATATTTCTCCCCCGACTTATGTGCTGCTTCGTAATTGAAATGGGATGATCCGAAGCGGTTTAGTACGATTAGACGGCCGCTTGGTGCAACAGCTGAGGTAACACCCCACTACGCGGTTGTTTCTTGGCTAGCTACTGGTATACGTGGAGATACTTGATCACACGTGGAGTGAATAGTTAACTCTGGAATAGCCTGGTGCGTACTGGCTGGTACCAGACAGGACAGTCCGTCACGTTGGCTTACACCCCAACAGCTTTGAATTCCAACAGACTAATGCTAGTAACAGGATATATTTCCGCTTGACTGATATGATAGTAATCGGACATTGACGGGACCGGAAGCTGACAGATTGCCTATTCCCAATGCACCCCAGTGGTGGCTGGGTGGTGCAGTCCTAGTCTACTCGGCACTACCTCAAGTGAACAGTCTCTGAAGAAGCACCTCACCAAAGGTGTCTTCCACCGGAGAGCCATCCATTCTCCACACGCGGTTACCAGCCCTCAGGCTTAACCACAGGCCGTGATCACTTGCGCTCTCCTCATCGGCCTCGATGCGGTGCCGGTTCCGTCGGTCGACAACGCACAAGCCCCGCGTCCACTGACCAGTAGTTTCAATGCGAATGTCTTCTGGTGACGTCGCTGAAGGTTTCCATCCGTCATCTTCTGCGGTCATAGCATACCAGACACATACGGGGTCGTGCAGACTAAGGTCCGCGGCATCGCCCACGTGCCCCGGATGCAGTCTCTCAAGTGTACGGAAGGTATGAGCCATAAAGGCAGACACCCATTCAGCCAAAGGCGATCCACTCTCCAGAAGCGGCGTGATTATTTGCCGGAACTGGCCTTGCGTCACACCATGTCTCAGCGTAATATCGAGGGGAAATGTGCGAAGAGTGAGCTGTTTGCTAAGGCTCGGAGGATATTCGGGGAGACTCGTTGCGGGCGGCAGAGTACTTCTGGGGGATGGGGACGTGAGAGCATAGACTCTTGCTGCCGCAACAGCGTCAGCGTATGCGTTGAACTCTGCAGCTGGGGTAACCTAGAAGATGTCAGCATCCCATGACTCTTTTCATCCCCAAACGGGGTAGGGTTCAGGCCAACGCGCACGTTTCCAGGTTTGTTGATTGCTCCTCCCATCACCACTACCTCTTTGACGCGGAGGAAAGTTTCCGGGTCAGCAGCAGATGCCAATGCAAGATTAGTAAGGGGACCGACTGCCACGAGAGTGACGGTGCCAGGATCATTCTCCCTCAAGACACGGAGAATCTCCTCGTGTGCGGGACGCTTGGAAGGAATGAATGAGCGATGAGCCGGATCTCCCTCTGGGACAGGTTTGATCTCGCGGGAATCAGAGGAAGGGTCGAAGAGATGCTCCCAAGCTTCTTTGGGGGTGAGGTGGGGATGCTGGGAATCCGTGTGTTAGCAGCCATGCAAGTTTTGTCGTTTGTAGCTCTGCGTGCTTCACGTACACTGGCATGAATACCCCCCAAGCCGTCCGTACCGTCTAGAGAAGGGTTAGCATGGCGGGCTTGATTAGCAAGACTTGCCATTTGCGAAACTCACGGAAGTAATCTGCAAGCATCTTTTGGTCCTCCAAAGGATCCTCTGCACCCACAGCAACGATTGGAGGAGAAGCGCGAAGAGTACCAAAACCTTCTGGCCGACCTTGCTCTCGACGCCATTTCATCTCCCGCTCCAGGATGTGGAACATGGAGACAACATTGCGCAGGCAGCTATCTGAGTGAGTATAGAGCCGTACTATCGAGTAACGGACGGCGCAAGCTTACCTTTTCACCTCGATGTTACCAAAAGTAAGCGAGATTAGCAAAACCTGAACATCCTCAGGCTCGGCAGAAAATGCCAAAAGTAGGGCAAGAATGTCATCAATACCCTGTTTGGACTGTCAGCACAGGTTGTAACTAGCAAACATCCTGAAGCAGAAGTGGAGCTCGGATGGGATCATCATTGAACGGAGTGAAGAACATACGGGATCGGTATCGATGATGATCTTTTTCGGTGCCATTGCTACAGCTTCAGCTTGCGTGCCGAATTTGCCACTATCCAATCAAAGTATATTGTTTTTGTGGTACAAACCGAGTTGGTTTTTGCTGGAGAATTTGCAATGACGCGGGTTTGGGGGCGATGGAGGGGAAAGTGGGATGGTCTTGGCCGGCGTTATCATGGTTGCTCCACTTCCAGCTATCTGTCCGAGTCCCCGAGCAGCAACCGAATACTATGTAAGTAGACTCACGGACGGATATGCTATTAGTCATGCCGACTGTACAAGATAACTAAGTTAGCTAGCTATCTAGATAGTTGACTATCTAAACTACATACTGAGCGATCGAAAGAATTAATCGCTTCCTGCATTGCTCTACCATACTGTGGGGCTGACTTGGGGTAAGAGTATTCTCAATAGACATAAGTGAGGATGCACGTCGGTCGAAGTTATTATCCCCGAAGCATGGGGAGTTGCATGAATACCTATAAGGTTAGCAGCATCAAGCCAGTCTTCTTTAGAGCTTCTCTTTTTCTTCGAGAGAGGGTCGGACATTGGAACAGATTCAGGAGTTCGTAGCGAGCTCGGATCATCTGCCCTCCCAGCATTGATGTCAGCAGGCACAATGCGTGTGTAAGTAACTATCACAGCACATCGATATCCTGGACTGTGACAGCCAATCAATCACTCTACCGTGTCTTTTTAAATCAAATGGCTTTGTTTGGGGTTACATTTTCAATGGGCCTCATGGTTACTCTGCAAGGGGTATAGAGCGTTGTATGTTATGCCTTAATGCTCCTGCTTCTGATCTATTCTATATGATCCATACATCTGCATTATTCAATAATATGAAATAACTTATGAACCAAGAAGAATATGCTACAGGTAATTATTATCTCCCGTCCTCTATGATAGATACTCTTTCTCTCCAAGTTAAGCTGCTCTGAGCACAACGGAAGGACCTCCGGGGAGGCCTGAGCGAGAAACCCGAGACGTGGCCTGTTCGGGAGCCGGTATTACCCCCGTAACATTACTGTGAGGTACACCCGTTACTTGTGCCTGTCATAGTGTAACTGGTAACTGCCGATTCTCCCGCAATCAAAGTTGTTCTTGCAGGCTAGTCTAAACACTTTCGGTTTGGTGATTCGATTGCTCTGCCACCTGGTGGACTATTTGCAAACCTATCAGCAACTACCGCTTGAGCTAGTTGCCGGGGTCATGGAATCTTTCACTTGAGGACGGAATCTTCCGTCGACTCGTCTAGACGCCCGTCGAACAGGGGAAAAGACATGACATTGCAGCATGGCAATGGTCGAACCAGCTTTGAGAGTTGTGGAAGATCTTCCCCCGCGTAATCTCCCTGCTGGGATAGTGTCCTCCACCCGATTTAATTCGAGAATACACACCTACATTGAGTCTAATAACCGTTAGTTTATTGAGGTTAATATCAAACTGGTTGGCCTTTGCTGTTCTCCTTAGTGTGAATGGTCAGTGAGACCTCAAGGACGGCACACTGTCTGTGGTGTAATTATTGTTTTGGAGTGACAAAAGGCACAAAGACCACCTTAGTCCAATTACAGCCAAGTTGATACGAGGGGGATGGTGCCTCGTTAGATCTTGAAATGCGCCACGATCATGTCAGCCCCTGACTTGATTTTAATCAAAAGGATAACAGCTATGCAGTGACAGGATACTACCGGGGAAAGCCTGTTGGTTAATTGCATCGATCCTGAATGAGAGATTCATTATCAATCGTGATGTTGATCTTCAGGCAGTGGATCACTCTCCAAGTCAAACAGGCTGCCAGTATTACCAATACGAGACCTGACTGCCTCACAGTGACTGCAATACTGCGTAGATACAGTACCACCACCACGGCCATCAACCGTCTCCTCTCCTCTTCCCGCTGTAATTTATTATTCACGGACGGACACTAAGAAGGTAGTTCATGACAACCCCTTCATCTTTCTCCAGACCGTGTCCTCTTCCACTTCCGCCCTCCTCCTTTCTTCTTCTCTTTCTCTCTCTCTCAACCCTTCCCTCTTTCTCACCTTCCTCCTAATCTTCTTTTGCCCTTACCCACCTATTGTCACCCCACCCCCAATTCCTTGGTTGACGGGTGCCTCGATGCCCGCTCGGTGATTCTAGGTATCCGTTATTCCCTTACCTCATCCCGACTCTCGCTACCAGTACCACCTTTCTTCGCCGCAGAGCGCAGTCGGAACCTTTGAACCAACTCCCGACTCTGAGGTCATAGGCTACGCACTCAATTGCCTGCAAGCTATCGACTGCATTGCAGAGCGGTAGCTTTTATTCATCTTCTGGCTTCATCGCGACTAGACTTACGGCTCCAGTGGTATTAGCATCCAGAAGGTCCACGAGGCAATCTGGCCTTTCTGCGCGCGACTGGCCTGCCCTTTTTCCCCTTGTCTTCCAACCACCCTCTGTGTCTCGACGACTCGATGATTAGAGGTTAAGAAGAGGATCTGCGGAAGCTTGCTCTATACTTCTTTTTTCTTTTTCCCTTGTATTTTCTTTTTTTTCCTCTGGACATCCTTGTTGGATCTCCTTATTCTTTTTTTCTTCTTTCTCGCCGAGTGTCGTTACGCGCCTGGCCATTAGACCACTTCAGGACGTTCCGTCTGTGATTGAAGTCGTCTTTTATATTCGAGACATTATAACGATATTTGCTACGTCCGTCAAGTTTTATTCTAAATGTATGTTCTGAGCCCAGCATCACCTCCCCGAATGTTTCGTGATTCGCAGACTGACAATTATAACGTGTCATAGCTCTTAACGATGATGAACCCTTACATCAGTTGGGCTCTCCTGCTCGTCGTGGCAGGTGGCCTGGGCTGGTACTACAATGGCCCGAACCCCAAGCACAAGACCCCTATAAAGCCCGTCGTGGAGAAGACGGAGCCTGCGCCGGCCGCAAAGAAGCCTAAGCGCAAGACCAAGAAGTCCCCGGAACCTACACCTGCCCCTAGCAAGCCCGTCGAGGAGAAGCCCGCCGTCCAGCCTGCCGTTTCGAAGTCTGAGGAGGCGGATGAGGAGATCGACAAGAAGGAAATGGCCAAGCGTTTTGCCGCCGTGAAGAACGGAACTCCCGTGCAGTCTAGTGGCAGCGCCAGCGCTGGTGGTAGCAAGTCCCAGAAGAAGAAGAAGACCAAGGCCGCTCAGGTTGAGAACGGCGAGCGCTCTACCTCTCGTGTCTCTACTCGCACCTCGTCCACTACCGGAGCCGACGCCGACGATGACCTCTCCCCCGCTGGCTCTCCCATGGTGAACGCCACTACTGGTTCCGCTGGATACGTTTCGGATATGCTTGAAGAGCCCGCTCCGGGCGCGTCGGTTCTCCGTGTCACCGGTGCTGTGTCCTCGGATGCCACCAAGAAGCAGAAGCCCCAGTCCTTCAAGCAGGTTGAGACTAAGAAGCAGCGTCAGCAGCGTTTGAAGAACGAGGCCCGCAAGCAGCAGGTCCAGGAGGCTGAGGAGCAGAGACGTAAATTGCTCGAGAAGCAGCTCCACATGGCTCGCGAAGCTGAACGCCGTGAGGCCGGCATCAAGCCCGCTCCTCCCCCGACCAACGCTTGGCAGACCAAGGCTGCTCCCGCAGTCACCAACGGCACCCCCAAGGCGGCCCCGGCCCCCAAGGTGGAATTGCTGGATACCTTTGAGTCTGAGACTCCCGCCGCTCAGGCTGCCCCCAAGAAGGAATGGGACTCCGGTCTTCCTTCCGAGGAGGAGCAGATGCGCATTCTTGGTGTCCAGGACCAGTGGACCACCGTGTCCAGCAAGAAGACCAAGAAGAAGGGAGGTAAGACTGACGAGAGCGAGGCTAGCGCTCCTGAAAGCCAGCCCGCTCCTGTTGCTGCCGCTCCCACCCCTGTTGAGCAGCCCAAGGTCAAGGTGACGCCCACCTACCTTCCCGATGTCCTTCGCTCGAATGTCAAGGGCCACCCTCTGGACTCCGACTGGGCTGCTTAAACCCTCCATAGATCAGACAAAAATGGAAGCTTGCCCCGAGAGGCATGCTTGTCTGTGATTCATTCAGGACACCCGGAGATCCTGAACTGTATTTATTACTCATGGCTTTGGCGTTTGGGGCACTCCATTATACCAAAAACGTACCATGTATTCTGGCGAGTTGCTCTGTTCTGACCGAGAGATCCAGCAATGGCAGAAACGCGACGACTTGACCGAAGAAACACCCAAAATTCTCCAACAAAAAAAGAGATCTCATGTATTATTTCATCGTTATGCTCGGTTGCTCTTATTCTTATTATTATTTTAGTCTTGGATTCTCCCTTTTTTTTCGCTTTTCCCTGATTTTTTCTCTCTTAAATATTGTGACGATGCTTATTGGCTCGGAGGATTGCCCCTTTTGCAGCCCGGCACTGTACTCGGCCCATGCACACTCTGGGGTTCCCTCCTTTTATGGGACTGACAGATGGCAAGTTTGGGTCGCCTCTAAATTGGCAACATTTGCCAACATTTTCCTGATGTGTCTTACCTACTATTTCAAAATACCTCTTTAGTACGCGAGCGGCATGGCGACCGTGTTGGCGAAAATAGCATGGATGGCTATGGATGTGATATCAGTGCGAGCGTGGATGGTTTCTTTTTTTTCTTTTTCTATGGGGGGCCACCTGGCATCTTATGTGTTTCTATTTTAACCTTCTTTGCTTCTTGATGCTGTAGTTGTGGGGTTTGGTTTTGTCCTTAAACTCCATAAATTATGTAGGTGACTACAATTCAATTCTCCTTTTTATTCGCAAGGATCCTCGCAAGATCTTTTTTTAGGTCTTATGCTCCTTTCTGCCCTGGTTGAGTGTGCCAGGTTGGAGGGTTCCTGTTTCACGATGATCGGGTTTCAGACGCCGGATCCTCCGCCGAACGACTTAAAATTCGGTCCCTGTTGGGACTTGTGGGGGGCTATGTCCGACCGGACTCCGCTGCATGGGTTATGGTCATTTCGGGGGTGGGTGTAAGCCCTCAACAATGTAGGGTGAAAGGAAGAGGCCAACTAGAGGTAGCTGTAAGCTTCAAGAGGTGAGGGAGAGGGGGGGGGGTTTCGGTGAAGAATGAGGAGAGATCTCCCGCGGAGCCGGGGATCAG